GAGAGACAGCTAATGAACTAGTGACTTTGAGATTCTTCATGTTTGAGGTCATGGGTATGGTTATCAAGACTGGCTTTTAGGTGAAGGTTTCACTAACGAGGTCAAATGAGAAGTAACTGACTTCCGTGCCCTCACCAGTGAGACTTGGGCAGCCCTCTTTCAGGCTTCCTTAATAGGCTGTTTCTACTAGTCTACCAGGGGAGCTCTGGTGGTGTTGTGGTTAACACCGATCTGCTAACCCCAAGGTCAGCAGTTCAAACTCACCAGCCCGTCTGTAGGTGGAAGATAAGGCTTCTACTTTTATAAAGATTTAAAGTATCAAGAAACCCAAAGAGGCAGTTCTACTCTGTCCTATAGGATCCTTATGAGTCTGAACTGACCCAATGGCAGTGAGTTTACTAGCTTACCATTAGGTTTCTGGGTGGTACTTCTCTGGTGAACAAAAAGTTAACATCTTCTTCAACAGAGACTCTATAACACACAGAGTGGCCGTGAGTCAGAATCTACTCCACAGCACATGACCTGCCTCCATGACCACTGCAGGAATCGACTTCAATGTAAAGTCTCCATCCCTTTGGCTAGCCCTGTATCACAGGCCTCCTTTTGTGTCTATCTCCATCAGATGGGAGCTTTGGGGCATGAACTTGGCCTTATCTTGCATTCCTCACATAGAGGACCATACCCTAAAGTTTCTTGAATGTATGCAAAAGAATAAAATAAAACAAAATGAACAAATGTCCTGTTGCATACAAAGAAGCCATGCCCTTTGGCTTTCCACTGCAGTCACTAATTAAAACATGATTGCATACTTTTTAGCCAACACTTGTGGGTGCCAGAGAGGGTACGTGTTGGGCTAGCAACTGCAAAGTGAGAAGTTTGAAACCCTCAGCCGTTCTCTGGGAGAAAGATGAGGTTTTCTGTTTTTGTAAACAGTATTGTCTCAGAAATCCAGAGGAATAAGTTCTACCCTGTCCTATAGGATCGCTGTGAGTCAGAACGGACTCGATCGATCGCACTGAGTTTATCCACCACTGCTGCCTCTGCTGAGCCCCATCAGCACCCACAGTCACATCTCCACTGCTGCAGCTCTTTCAACTTGAGTTGAAGCTACAGCTTGTGCAGCCGGTATGGCTTTGGAGCTATTGGAAGGACCCCTGCCGTCCCCACCGGGCCCCACCCAGCAGCTGTCTGACCAACCTGCTGGTGTGTCTGCCAAGTTCGCAATGAGTATGCCCGACCCAGTAAGCTGTGTTAGAGAGCACATCAAGGAGGGCATACTGGCCCAGTGCCAGGCTCTGGCTGTTAGGAAGCCTGTATTGTCATATAATGTTAAATGGGCCTTAAAAGTGCCTGGTGAAATGGCCCCCAGAGCCAGATATGCCTTTGAACAAGCAGGCATTGTTGTGGAACTGTTTTCCCTGCGCGGTCTCACCTCTTCCATTGGACTGTAAACTCCCAGGGACCCTACTCGACTAGCTCTTCACGGGCTCCTTGGACACCTAGGACGGAGCTCTGTGCACAGGAAGCAATCAATAACTACATCCTGAGTGAAGTACCGGCCATGGCATCCCATCAACATCTCGCAGGCCAGCTTAACAAGTGCCACGCAGGCATGATTTGCATGAAACCCATGGCAGCCTAATCTCCCGATCTTACACTTAGCAGTCACCCAGCTTGAAAAGGAGCAGAGCTGGAACCCAGGCCTCCAAACATGACATTCCTTCCACTCCATGATGCTGTTTGATTAAAAACTTGTTGCACAAAGGCAGAAGCCAGCAGCCCTGAACGCAGCCACACACTGCTGCTCTCTGGACTGCAGAGCCGCCGGCTTCCCTGCGCCAGACCCCTGAAGAGTCCATGATTAGGTTTTTTACTTTTACCAGTGATGTATGATGTCTGCTGCCAGAGGAGGGGGTGTTAGCATTCAGTGGCAGCTTTCCCAGGGCACTGCCAAAATTGTTTGGGGTGAATCATTTAAAAGGATGAGCTTTTTTTTGTTGTTCTCTTGTTTTGCTTTATCCCGTAATAAAAAGGCACAACAACAAGCCATGAGCAGGCGGCCTCCTTTAAAAAGCCTTTGCAAGAATACCGGGCAATAACCCAGTTTGCAAACTGCCTTCTCCAGCAGCAGGCAAAGCGATGTCATGGGCAACGAAGCCCCCCCACCCACCAAAAGGTGGCCTGGTGTGTGTTTGGGTAAAGTTACCCCCAGCAGCCTCCTGTGAGCATGGTGAGCTGCTCCCATCTGCAATGCTGGGAGAGCACCAGGGCTGAGGCTCGGGGCTACTTGGCAATTTCTCAAAATTAAGACTTGGCCTTGGAGAATGTCAACACTAAAAATGGGGGTGGGGTAGGGGGGTGATTGTTGCTGTTGTTGTTTTTCAACATAGCAATGGAGCTTCAGAAAGTTTCTCAGAAAATGAGGTTTTTGTCCAGAGAGGTTCAGTAAGCTCAAAATATCAAGGTCAAATGAAGGAGTCAGCTCCTTAAAAAGGGAAAGGGCATCTCCTAAAATGACGAAACCTCTCCTCCTCACCACCATATTCCATGGGAGTCTGGCTTGGTTCACCTTAAGGACCATGGAGGCTGCCTCAGATTAACGCCAGGACCATAGAATCCCAACCTTCTGTGAGGCGGGGGCTATATCATCTCCATCTGCGTGAGGCCACTAAGCCCTCTTCATTTCCAGATCTACTGGCCAGGTCTCAAAGATTCACTGAAGAAAATGTGAGCTTCCCAATCTTTGTTCTAAAGGCCCAAAACCTCACCTTGAGTCCATTTTATTTTTATAAGCCCCATCCCCTAAAAGAGCTCACAGACTAACTAAAAGAGACTCCCCCAGTCTCCCTAGATGGAGGCCAGGCGTCGGATCAATGTACAACTCAAGAAGAGAAATTTAAATACCGCTTGTTTGTCTCCTTTCAAAAGAGCAGAGCAGCCACTTCACATTTTGCCACACAAAACCCTGTCCGCAGGAGGCCGTTCCCACAATGAGGCTGCAAAGGTGGTAGAAAGAGGCCAGTTGGGAAGAGATAAAGGGCCATTTGGACACAAACCCCCTGCGGATCACAGCCTTTTTCTAAGTGTCTCTTTGGCAACAGGGAAGCCTTTTAAATCTACATTTGCTTTGGATCCCTACCTGAATGACAATGTGTTGGGATCCAATTTCACCTTTTGTCATTGATCAGGTGAGAAACAGTTAAACTGCTGTCAGAATCTTAGAAAAAGCCGAGGCTTGGTTGTAGAAGGGGTGGCTAGGGAAGAGGGGAAAAAAACAACTTACGATCCTAAGATCCCTACTGATGAGGTGAAGGGGGACAAATGCCTCCTAATCCCACAAGGAGAGCAATATAATATATTATGCTTCCTTTATTAGAAGTGTCACTCTACAAAAATACTGTTCCGTTTGTGCTGTGGATGGAATGAATCACTGACCACTGAAAACAGAAATCCTCATCTTTTCAGAACATTTCAATTCCATCTCCTCTCAAAGTCACTCCAGCTCAGAGAATGGTGCAATGATCAGAAATCAGAAAACACATCTGACAAAAAGACGCTGAATGTGAACTCCAAAGAAAGACCTGCACGGAAAGGGAAAGTTACATGAAGTGTCTTAGGCGAGTCTCTATTATTATGCAAACGATGGCAATGCTGACTATTGCACTCAGGGCCAGTACCAGAGAGAGAAGAGAGATTGAGGAGAGAGAGAGATTGAGGGGAGAGAGAGAGAGAGAGAGAGAGAGAGAGAGAGAGAGAGAGAGAGAGAAAGAGGAAAATCATCCTTAAAGCAAAAATTGGCTTTAGGAAAATATCTTAGTCCTTGCTTGGGGATGGGGCGGGTGGGTGGGGGGCTGTAAAATTGTTGGAAAAACATGAATCCCAAAGTGGCAGAAAACACCTCTCCCGGAAAAAAAAGTGGTCCGTCACAAGCGGAGTCGCAATCAGAAACTTATTCCAAAATCACATTCCCTGGAAACTTCGCTGGGTCGAAGACAACGCTGCACCATTATTGTTGTTAGAAAGCATAAAGGAACGATGTTACTTTGCTTAAGAATGCTATATAGCTTAGGCACCGGATGCTAAGTGCCATTTCAAGCTCCCCTCAACAAACGTTGGCTTTTCTAGGCAAGTCGGCTGAAAGAACGGCGGGATGCAATCTCCAGGTGGTGGGTGTCTTGGCTACTAGTACCAGCTTCAGGATCAGCCACCAGCACTTTTTCTGGAAGCCCCTCTTTCTGGAGGGGAGGATGGACAGAGGAAAACAACCACCTGGAGAAATGCGAGCCCTGCTCACTTTGACTTGGCTTCCTTTCCCGTCTCCCCGAAGAGCACACATAAAACAAAACAAAACTCACTCGCCGAACTGCGCGCAACCTGCAGCAAAGAACCGCCACCACCGAAAGTCCCCCCCGCACTGGACCAGAGTCGGGAAGCTACAGGGCCAGCCCCTCCCCCACCCGCCAGGACAGGAGTGGGGGCGGAGATGCAGCTCAGAGTCCGCTCCCCGGCCCGCTGCCTAGCCCCGGTGCCTTTTCTCCCTGCGCCCATCGGTGCCCAGGAAACTCGAGAAGAGGGTCCAGGGGTGGGGTGCAGACCTCGGGGGGTCGTGCGAGCCCGGGGTGGGCGCACAAAGAGCAGAGTTTGCAAGGATGAAAACAAGTCTGCTTGCCTACGAGGGTGGCTGTATACAAACTAAGAAAGGAGGTGCGAGGGCAACCGGAGAATCCCCGCCGAGCGAAAGTAGCCTGGGCTCGGCAGAGGGGGCCCGTGTTGGGGGAAAGTGGGGTGTTCGGCCGAACAGAAAGGGAGGGGTGGGTGAGTGCACGGACGAAGAGTTGTGGGTGTGTAGCTCGGCGGGACCGAGGCAACGGGTCCGGCACGGCGGGGAGCTCGGTGCCCGCAGTGGCCCCATGCCGGGGACGGGGGCGCGGACGCAGGTCTGAGCAGAGAGAGCCGGAGGGCGCCGGGCAAGTTTGCGGGGTGCGGAGGGGGCCCCTTACCTGCATGGTGACGACCCCCAGCTCCTCGGTCGTCAGCCTCCGCATCTGGCTGGCCAGCACTTGCGCCTCGTCCAGGATGGAGAAATCGGCGTCGGCCGCGGCGCCCGGCAGCCAGC